GCCTGTGCCGGCACGGCCCCTGCGCGGCCCGCCCTCCCCGGGAGCACCTCCGCCCCTTGCCCACGTGCTGCCGACCCTCTGCTGAGCTGCAGTACAGCGACCGCGGATTCCGCCGGGTCCCAAGAGCTGTCTCTCGCTGGATGAAGCAGTTGCCTCAGGTCGAATGCTGCCTCTGCCAGTGGTCTCCGAGCAGCCACCATCATCCCCCGTGAAAGTGTCCCATCACTGCAGCTCGCCAGCTGCGGGTTGTGACTCATCCAGCTGGAAGCCAGATGTTGCTTTCAGGGATGAGGGTTGTTGCTATGATTCTTCTGGAGAGGATGATTTGGCGGGTCTTACCTACCGTTCTTAGAATGAAGAACAAGAGTGTAATACTTGCACCTTAGAAAATCCCTATTTTTTTCCCCCATTTCTTGGAAAAAAAATGGCTAAAATGGTTGGATTTCATGTAATTGCATACAAGGAGTCAACAGGGAGCCTCCTTGATCATTATCTGGATCAAAAGCCCTCCTGAAATAGAGCTGCCATACCCTTGTATGCTACCCAGGACAAGCTACTAACAAAAGTATGGCAGACGCCCTGCACCATTCCTCCCATGTCAAACGACACTGATAGAAAAATACATCTTCCCTGAGGCTGCAGTCAGTTACTTTTCCCAACCTGCACATGAGAACCAGGTAGTCATGGCAGCAATGTTGTGGGAGGAGGTGGGGCAGGAGCATTGGAACCACCCCAAAACATGGAACTGTGGCATCTGGATTCATTTGGCCAGAGGGTTTACCGGTCGAGAACTTACCCTGCACGTGGGAGAATGTCTTGGGGGAACAGGTGGAAAGTTCTTCACAAAGAGCCAGAGAAAGGCAGGCCACACTGCTCTTCTGAGGCCAGTGTACGACCTCTTGGCCCCCCTCACAGTGAGGGTGGGAAGGGCCAAGCTCCTCTGTGTAAACCAGTATTCGTGTCCACTGTTTGTTTCAAGGGTGTGCAACGCCCTTCTGAGAAGGACATGCCACCACAGCAGCAGAACAAGGCATTCTTCAGCCCCTCTACGGACAGCAAAAATAAAAAGGAAGTCAAAGAGCCTGAGGCGTTTAGCTGGTGAATAATGTCTGGTAAGCTGCCACTCATCAGTAAGATGACTTGGTCTGCCTTTTACTTCCTTCTGGTTTTGAGTTTCAAGTCCTAAGCTTTGTGTGTGACTAGAAAACAAAGGTTTGTCCAAATCTCCATTCCTCAGTTTCTGACAGTGCTGTGATAAAGCATCTTATTGTAGAGAGCTGCATACGATCTGATTCTGCTTGGCAAAGATTCCGCTTTCCAAACTAACTGTTCTGAAGTTAACCCATACTCTCTGCTTTGAAAAGACTTTGCATTTATTCTTAAATAAAATTGATTTTGTTTCAAACTAGAGAGTCGTGATGTTGGAAGTTGTTTTCAACTTGCTATTGTGATTGATTTCTCCTTTGTAGGCAATGCACGGTGTCAAGTAATTCTTGTTAAAATAGCTTGGCTAAACCATTACACAGAAACAGAGCTTTCATCAGGACACAACACAGCCATTTGCATGTTAGGCTTGCATTTTATAACATGAATTTACAGCTCCAGGTACTTGTTTACACTAGGGTCGACGTTGCCACTGGAGAGTCAATCACTGAGAAGTTTAAAAATAACCTGAAACCTTCCGCAGACAGGAAGGTTCTGTTGTTTGCAGGAAGGGGAGTGTCTGACACAATGATCCTGTCTCAAAGCAGCCATAAGGGAGTGATACAAACAGTGCCTTGTCTTGTCTTTTGAGTAGCTCTCAGTATTGCCTGTCCTGGGACTCACAGCTGAGCACCCCCCACAGCTTTTCCTGAGATGGTGTCCTGCGGATTGTCCCTGCTGTGAGCAGGTAATGAAAGAGCTGTCACCCACATGGAGTGGCAGTAATTAAGCAAACCTTGGCATGCCAGCTCGGTACAAAGGAGCTGAATTCTACCCCATTCCACCCTGACAGTGCAGATGGGATCAGTAACGTGTGAGGATGGGTGGCCGAGACCAGCTCAGGCTGATCTGTGAAGCCAGCGTTCGTTCCTCCGTGGTGTTGGACACGGCGCTCCCACGGTGCAGGAGGTGAGTGGACTGACAGAGAGGATGGAAGGAGCAGGCTCAGCCCAACCCCCTGCGAGCCTGCAGGGACTCATGAGGACATTCACAGGTCCCAACTACAGACCCTCTTCCAGGTGCTGGCAGATGACGGGATCCTGCTGGTCTGCTGCCGCAGAGACTCTGCTGCTTTTGTCTGGCCTGGAGGTGAACTCCTTCCACAAGATCAGTAATGTTTCTTGAGCAGCCACATCTTGTGTTTCTGGGCCATTTTGTGGCAAATCACACATCTGGAGACAGTGCAGGGCTTGATTGCAGCCCTTTCTTAGAGGATCTCCTGAAAACTCTCACAATGAGGCATAAAGCTGTCACAGTGAAGCTACAAACAGAACCAGCACTCCTCTCGCCTAGCAATGCTGGGGAAAAAACGGAGGTTTATTTGGCTTTATCTGGAACTCGTCTGCCAGAACCACCTACATTTCTCCTGCCTCAAGACACACATTCAGGTGTTCATGGGTTTCTTGCCTGAAATGGCTGCATGGGGTGCCTGGAGACTGAAGTGTCCTGGCGTGGGAGAAGCAGAAAAGTCTCAATGGTGGGTAAATGACACAAATTACCAGCACAGATCACTGCTCCAGCCTGCTGCTGGGTGTTGGTCCTGGCCAGCGGTGACGTCCTGAGCGGGTGTATCCTGAAGCCTGTAGTGTCAGGGCTGAGCTGTGCCTGGCAGCTGCACTTGTGACACCTCTGGGAAACCTTAACTGGTCCAAGGCATTAACACAAGGGGAGTATAACACAGCCACCAGCTTCAGCGGGGCCAGCAGCACCTTCAGTGCTGCAGTGAGCCAAGTCCTTGTGCTCATGCTGGCTCTAAGTGACACAAAGGGATTAGCCATCACCTGGAAATCCAAGGTGAGGCTCCAAAGGCATCCCCGCAAAAGGCAAGGCTGTGTTGGAGCATGCCAGAAGTAGGGGTCCTGTGCCTCTCTCCATCACACCGCCATGAACGCATTGCCACCCAGTGCAGGGGTGCCCTCGCTTGTCACTTGCAGGCCCTGGCTTCTGGAAAGACCCTCAGCCTCCAGGACGTGCACTCCGGCTTCCAGCCGAGAAGGCCAAGGAGCTCGAATGCTTTTGTGATTCAGGAGCAACCTGAACAACCTGCTGGCCAGTTTCTTCCCCTTCCAGTCCCAGCCTGGGGCTATTTTAGCTCCCCTTGCCCCAGCTTCCACCACCACTTTATGCCTGTCACACGTGGCACATAGTGCGCAACCCACAAAGGAAGAACCTCGAGCGAGAAACCCCAACCCCAAGAGAGGTGGGCGGAGGCGAAGCTGGAGAGCGGAAGCAAAGGCCCATGCAACCCAGCCTGCCTGCTTGCCACCCTGCAGGCACTGCCCCAGCTCCGGCCCTCTGGCCGCCGAGACCCCGTGCCGAGGCAGGATGGAGGATTTAGGTAAGCTGGACCCCTCCAGAGCCAGTCCTATGCTCACGCTTGGTGCCAGGTCATGCCTTTGGCAGCTCAGGGAAGCCTTGTCCTTCCCCTCAAGGTCAGGCAGGCTGGCCCTGAGCACCATCACCCTGAGCCCCATCCTCAACATAAGGTGCACGCGCCCCGCTGTGCAGCCTTCCTGAAGTGTGGGGGACCCCTGGCAACAGGGGTCCTGCTTCCCCCATGCGCCACCTGTGGCTTACAAAGAAACATCCACCAGCCCTTGAATTAATTCCAGCACAAGCCCTGGCACAGGACAGCTAAACCTCGGTGCTTTCTGTGTGCCCAGAGCAGCACTTCCAGCAGCGGGGACAAACCACTTTCTGTTTCTGCTTTTACCACACCACCTTGGCTGTCCCTTGGCACCTTGCTGCCTTCGTGTCGGGTGACAGGGGGGATAGCCCAGTGCAGCTGCTTCCCAGCCCGTTTCCCTCACCCAGGCCAGGGATGACTCTCAGCACCCTTGGGCTTGTGCCGCACCCTTGGGCTGCTCGGCTTCATTGGGTGCAGCTGGGTTTGCATTGCTTCTGCAGCCCATTTCCTGCCTTCCAGCGCTCTCCATTTTTGGCCGGGTGCTCACTGGGCCGCCTGGGCCCTGTTCATCCCCTGAGATGGGGGAGGCATGGCAGAGAGGGCAGCTCCATTGCTGCCCTCTCTGCAGCATCCACCGCAGCCCCTTGGAGCCCTGGCACAAGCTGCTGTAGCACTACTTTTTCTCCTGAGATTTCAGGAGTGGCACAAGACTGCTTTGAGGGGGTGTACAGGCAGGGAGACCAGCCAGTGGCTGTAGCGCCCAACCTGGGTGTCTCTGTGCAGATGCTTTGCTGGCAGAGCTGGAGCTGAGCTCTCACCTGGATGCCAAGGACTGTGTGCTGCAAGTGCCAAGCTCCAGCAAGCGGGATCTGGCCACAGATGAGCCCACAGGCCCCTGTGGCCCTGAGCTGCTCACCTCTGCATCCCTGAAGGTAACATTTAAATGCAGCGGGGCTAGTGGCTGAGACCCTGCTCAGCTTCTGACAGTGGTGGTGCCAGGTAGGCAGGGGAGCATCCTGCAGACTTAGCTGCAAGTGTTTGTACTTCTAGGTGCAGCTGCCACCTCGGGGTCAGCCCCTAAGAGAGGATTTGAAGACAGTCTACAGGTAAAACTTGTCCATGGGAGGGCAAAGTCCCCTGGGCCCCATCTTTCAATTGCTTAGATGCAATTGATCCTGGATCAGCTGGCCTCTTGCATGTCCTCCCAAAAAACAGGTCCTGCTACAAGTCAGGGTAGGGGGTTGCATCCTACAGCACTGCTGGGATGACAGTTGGGCTTCTAGCAGCTCCCCCTCTGCTGCATATGGCCACCCCTCAGCAGCGCATCCCCAGGGAGGCCCCCCTGCTCCTACTATAGCCTCTGGGGAAAGAGCAGGGTCTCACAGGGGTGGAAGGTTCTCAGAGCCCAGCACCTTCTGACCTCAGGGTGGAAGCTGCAGCATCCCCCTCTCTCTGCTGTGTCCAGCAGCCCTGTCCCACAGCCACTGGTCCCCGTGCCCCCAGCCCCCACCCACAGCGGCTGCCCAGGAGCTAGAAGAGCTCCTGGCTGACTTGGGCCACATGCAGAGTAAGGTGAGCCTTGTCCCTTGGAGAAAGGAGGTTGGGGTCCTAGTCCTCGCCCAGCCCTCACCATCCTCCTTCCTGGCAGTTACCGGCTGTGGGGCAGGGAGGCGGGGAGGCAGCA